GGTGGAAAAATCAATTAGGTGTTATATGCTTCAGCGTACACGTGGAAGCTGAGAAAGTAAAACCATAATTTGCTGGATGTCTTTTTAATTATTTCCCTCATTAGCATATAAAGATTCTAATTAGGACATAGGAATTAATATCAGACTCAAAATTAATAGACCTATTCGGTTAACTCAATTTTGTACCCAATTCAATTCTCCCGGGGTTAAGATTCTTTATGTATTGTATTTGCATCATAATGTGGCATTCTCATTTAAATGTATGGAAATTCCTGAAACAAAAAGTTTTATTCCCAAAGGGTTTGAATTGGGTACTACATTGAGTTAGCCGAATAGGTCTACGGTTCCAATCTAGTTTGGAACTGATATATTTTCTTCTCCCAAAGTGTACTTCTCTTGGCGTCGGTAATCTCTGGTTTCAAGTATGGTTGTTCATTCATTGCTTCTCTTGTCAAAGAGGGCTCAGTTTAGAGACAACAGATGAATTCATTGATGTTTGGTTGAAGGTGTGGGCGAAGACGTTTTCTCGGCTCATCGATCGCGTAATGCTCCTGCAAGCAGCGATTATTTTCACGCCATGTTTGCACAAGGCAGTGAAGGAGTCACGCGAGGATGTGGTCGAGCTAAAGGATGAAAGCATTTCAACAGCTGCCTTGAAGATCAGTTCGTCTTGCAGCCGATCACCTTTAAGTTACTTGTGCTGTTCAACAATGTTGCATTTACCTGGAAACCGAGTTTGCGAAGTGTCAGATTGACGTGCAAACGTATTGAGTCAAATCTTAACAATTGCTAAACGACACAATGTAAGATATCGTCAGTGTACAAGGAGATCTGTGAAAGTGAAGATTTCTTGTCCCATATGGATGCTAATCAATATTCTAACCTTCTCAGCACAGATTACCTCTGTTCTCCTTCAGAGACAGTCGTCTTCACATCCGTAATGCAGTGGATCAAATACAAGAAGGAAAAGTGGATGACACCGTCGCGGCTAAAGTTATCGGAGCGGTTCGTTTGGAGTTGGTGGACATCAGGGAAATCATAAAGAGTTCGACACAGACGAAATGAAACAAAATTCCAGAAATATTCACTCTTGTTTATGAAACACTCGTGCACAGCCATAGGCCCTCCAGCAGTTCTAAGTTAGAGAAAGCTATAAACCAAGATCTACGAGCCTGGTAAGAACGCCGAGTGTCTATGACGGAACGTGCCTTTGTTTTCTTACAGACAATAACGAAATAATAGAAAAAAGGAAAAGAAAAAACTAATAATAATTATAGAAAATCAGTTGTTTGATCAGTACAAATAAAATAATCAGTCTGCTTAAGGGGATGGAGACGTATGACATTTCATGCTTACACTTTTTACATATGTATTTACTTTTTGTGTTTTAGGTTCTTGTTGCAATTGTTCCTCGGTCTTAGATGCAGTTCTTTGACGTCCAATCAAAAACGTGTAAATCTTTGCCTTCAATGCCACAGTTTTCTGAGGCAACGGGCATGCCTTTGTGCCGAATATGTTGGTAATTAAGTGTATGTAGCAGTAAAAAAGGGGAATGATTTTGTTAATTATTGTTATCACTTAGTTAATAGGTCATGGGAGACACTCCCATCTTTTGCTGGCTTAGCTAATCGAATCAGTAGTTTGTGCAGTGTTGACGACCATTTATACGCTATACACCATTCTAAGACACCTTACAGATATCATATTTCTACAAATCAGTGGTTATATGTAGCTAACTTAAGGGCTCCAAGTAGCATGCCAGAGAGTTCATTTTGCAACAAAGCAGCACTGTTAGTGTATAAATCTCGGGTGTACGTACTTTATGGACGAGGAGTAAGACGACGTTGTTGGGGAAGTAGAAGAAATGGATACTTACCTCTGGGAAGCACAGGTAGCAAACGTATTTTGCTTTGATCAAAAGAGGAATATGTGGGAACAAAAGGTTTCAACAAGTACCAACCACTTTGGTTCTATGTTGCTGGGGGAAAGTGCACCATCAATGAATCTTATGCTGAGCCATGCGGTAGAACAGGTTCTGTTGAAGTGTATGATGAGGAAAACAACAACTGGACTGTTTTAGGTCTTGTAGACCAACCACACATTCCCCCCAAATATCCTTGGAGCAGTAGAAATTGAGGGAAGTGTATATTTCATTATCGACAGGTTTCTGGTAGACAGTGGAATTAGGATCCCACCAAGAAAGGTGTACCTTGTTTCCTTAGATGAGTGGGAAAATTTAGGTAACGTGACCAAAAATTGCATTGCAGTTTTGTGTCTTGTGCCAGTTAAAAGGGAAAACTTAACATCTGAATTACTCACTCTATAAAGGTTAAGGTTAGAAAACCAGTCGACAATGTCAAACTGAACTGCAATTAGACAGTACTAGTTGAAAGCTTTACACCGAGATTATTTACTTCTCTGCTTATTCAAGATTGAGTCAGATTGGGAATTCAGTAAATAAGATTGTATGGCAGATTTTTGTATTCGAAATTATCGGAAAAATTGACTTCCGTAAAAGAGCACACCTAATCGCTAATCACACACTATTAGGTAGAGGAAAAGTGGCTGCTTATAAAAGTAGGCTGATCTGTTTTCAATGAATTGTTGCTAGCTGGCGTTTCTCTCTAGACTGCGGTAACTGGCCGCTAATTAGGACGTCACTTAACAAACGTGTGAGTGCACCAGCACTGTACAGTACATTCCAAGTTACACTACGTTAAGGATTGGGTTGGACACCAATTTTTCCTCTCTTTCGTGACTGTTGCATTTACCCATGGTCGTCTGTTCTTACCGGTAAGGCCTGCTATCCCATTTAGTCATACCTTGGGTCTTTTCGGGGGGTCTCTCCACCTAGTACTTGCTTCATTTTGTCCAAGCGAACGCTCCGGAAAACCAGGGGACTAGGCTTGGGACCTTCGTTTATTATCATTCATAGGGTTAAATTTCACATAAGTGAAAGTGCGTTTACAAAGCATGGCATGCACCTTGTTCGTAATATTCTCGCGAAACCAGCTGGGGTTTTTTTAAAGTTTATTATTAATTACGCAAAAATGCATGAATGTTGACTGTTAGCTACCGTTCTAGTGGAAAACACAGTTCCGAGATCGAGATGTAAGGTAATAATTTTCATAGGTTATAGGTGTTAATCAAGTGTAAAAGAGCTCATGCGAGATGGGATTCATAAAATCCTATGGCTTGTCCAATATACTTAAGCAGCAGAAATCATCATTTAGAGCAACTGTTATTTTTTCTACAACTACGATTTGTCTAGGCTACAGGTTGTTGTTTTTCTTTTCCTGAAAACGTTTGCGAATCGTTGACAAAAGCGCAGCATTTATTTTTTGATGCTTTAAATACTGCAATGAATCTATATAAATGGGCTTGTTAACGCAGCCGGATTAGGCTTGAACTAGATTTGTTGATATGAATTCCATGGATACTCTTAATTTCAATTGTTTAATTAGTACTATGATAAGTAAGTTTTTCTTTATTTTGTTATATAGCCTGCGTAGCAAGCGTTTCCGTTTGGTTTCGGAGCAAAAAAGACCGTGGAAGGGGATTTTTGGTTTTGATCGCGCGAGAAATTAAACTAGAACCAAAAAATGAAAGAGGGTGAGGGGGAGGGGAAGCCCCACCCCCACCCCGCTCTTTTACTTTCGCCATTTTTCGCGTGGTCTTTGACTCTTGTTCCTCGTTCTTTGCTGCAAACCGCACAGAAACGCTTGCTACGCAGGCTATTTGTTATATCAAGGTCAGCATTTTCTCCAAATTTAAATAAATTGTCTCTGATCAACCATATACACGTTAATCAGCTCGTACTATGTTGCCGTTCACTTCTCTTACGGTCAGTTTACCAGTGTTGTCCTTAACCATAGGATCAGTTTGATGCACATTCCACTTTATTATCCATCCAGTTACTTGAAAGTAGCTTAGCGCTACCTTAGGGGCTACGATTTCAGACTCACGATCGGGTTTTTACAACACTAAATGCGTCATTTTTAAGAATAAAGGTTTAATATGTTCTAGAAAATGTCAAATTACTTTTTAGTAAATATTCAAAGTGATGAGATAAGCTATATTTTAATTAATTGACACGTTTATCTTGCAACAGTTTATCTTTTTGAAATCAGCCGAATCAGCACTTCAATGCTCGGACATCTTGTCCCCATCTTGACATTGGTTTTCTTTTATAATTAGTAATCTCTACCTTAAAAGTTAATTGAATGTCCCCAATGAGCAAAACCTAAATAATCAGATGAGGTAGAGTGATAAGAGTATAAAAAGTAGAGGAAATCTGCGACTAATCGAAGAAAGAAAAAGAGAGAAAGGAGGGAGAAAGACAACTAAATAGTATGACTTCGTATTCTAAAACTGTGCCAAAGAACAGAAAGAATGATGAATTAAGGCGTTTACTAGGAGGTAATCTTTGAAAGCATGATAAAAATTTGGAAATATTTTCGGTCACTCGGAAAGAGCAATAAAACAATTTTGTTTCAATTTAGATGTTTAATTTTCTTATTAGTAATGGTAACAGGACTGAGTGGAGTCCAGTTCGGTCTGTAATCATACGAGTGATTAACAAAATCGGACGACCGCGTAGCGGGAGTCCGATTTGTTTAATCGCGAGTATGATTACAGACCGAATTGGACGACACGAAGTTCTGTTACCAATTAATCATAACTTTAACAAAATTTGTGATATATTAGGCTCATTTTTTACATCAAAACACAAGAAACTCCCAGATTTTTTTTGCTAGCAGTGAAAAAAAAGCCGTTTAAGCGCGCGCGTGATGGCGCGTACTGTCAATTACTTAGGCATGACGCGTACTGTCCTATTTAACTGTCCTATTAAGGCTGAAATCAGGGCAGTTTATAGCCAATCAGATTTAAGAATTTTGTTATAGTTATGATTACACTTGAAAGTGTTCACTTCAATACATCTGATATGTTGAATTGTACAGGACTCGTTTTTAATAAAGAAAAAATGCACAAATGCATAGATGTATACTGAAAAGATTTAGCTTGAAAATACCTACTAGTAATCTATGCCCCCTATAAATTACCGTGAAATCTATAACCTATAATACTTCGACATTTCATCGGAACCAAAAATTATTACATTAGTAAGTAAACGTTTCGATGGTCATTTACAATATAATTACTATCGCACCTCGAGTGGGCTTGTACTAAGATGTAGGGGACACATGTGCATGTATATGTACTATCTCTTGCGATTTATAAAGTTTCTTAAGTTAGTGTTTTACTAGTTTATCAAACACGAGATGCAGCAGTGTTTCAACCGAAAGCGGAAAACTCTGATGCGATGATGCGGCTTGAAATAACAAGGAGCAGCACCCATTTCCCTTACCCCGAGTCCACTCGACAGCATATATTTAAATCATTCTCCAAAAACGTTATGGATGAGAAACGTTACTTTTCTAGCACATGGAATTTAGTGACATAGAATATTAATGATTGTGACAAATGTTGCTCATATCGAATGTTATATAAAATAGGTAGCCCCTACAGCCCTATGACCCACTGGGTCATTTTACTTAGTTTCTTTCAATTGCCCAACAATTATGAGAGCACATGCTTGTCAATATGTCTAACTGTTCCGAGGGGAGAGAGTATAATGTCAGGTGGTCGTTGTCAGTGAAAATAACAAATAAGTTGTGTTGACAAAGTTGTTGAAAAAACAGAGAAATGCCGGACCGGGCAAAAAGTAGTCTTACTGAAACAGAAAGGGTGGATTCATGGTGTAGTACGAAAGATTCAGTTAACTGTGACACTTTCAATTCAGCATTTTGATCAATATGTACACCAAACTGAAACGATTGCCACACCTAGGACGATTTTGATAAGCACGAGGCTTAAACTGAAATTGTAGAGCTAAAGTCAAGCGCAACCTGAAAAGGCGCCGCCTCTATCAAGACAATGATCAGGGACGGCGTAGCGTATTTTCAACTTAGTGGAGGCTTGAAAACGAGCGCTGAAGGCGCAATTCTGGGGGTATCTTCCCTCAGGTAATTTTGAAATCTAGAGGCTCAGAAATGGTATTTTCAACATTCTCCATAAGATAGGAAGCGCACGCTGGGAGAATTTTAAACTCGTAAACACGAAAAGTTTCTTCCAGGTTTTGTCCTATTTTTTAAAAAAATCTCTTCACTATAAAATGGCCTAAATGAAGGGGCGAAGTTATTCATCGATCTGAGAACGTTGTAGAACGATACCACTAGAACACATATCCATGTCCTGTTCGATTTTTTCGTGCCAGTCATTTACAGAGGGTGTTAATTAAGCTTGTAGTTCATCGAAAATTATTGGCCAAAGCTTTTCCATAATACAACTACGGACGTCATCGAATATTAAGAACAAGCAGAATTTAGAACAATAGAACATAGAGAAATTGTTGTTAATTACCTGCAAAAACACCTATAAAATCACTTGAAGCCTAATTAACCTATCACTGCCATGAATTCGGGTGGTAAGTCATGAAAACACGCCAAAAATGGTTAAAAATGAGTAAGGTAGTCATTGCCTGGAAAATATGGACGAAGGGCCAAATTGAGGTCAAAAAAATGTCAAACTAAACAAAGTGCGCATTAACTCAAACAAGGCTTGGTCATCTATCAAAAACTCTAATTAAAAATACTTTCACCAAGGAAATGTTACCGCGGAGATGCACCAAAATGCATGGAACATCCGCTTTACACCGAATTTCTATTTATATTCACGACTAAGAGACGGGAATGGGTGTGCAGCTCGAACTATGGAGCCTGAGTGTTTAATGCCGTCCAAATAACATACAAAGTTGAACATCATAACTAAAGAATGGTATAGGTGGTTTTCATGCAGTCTCGGGAGACACAAATAACAATGGTGAAATGAACAAATGCTGGTGGACAAACAAAACGAGCTAATGAGCGATCTTTTGTTTACCGTCCACCAGCATGACGTAACGTGAAAACCACCTATACAAATATTCCTAAATAAAGTCACTCAGGCTAAACTATTCACGTGCGCCGCCTGATACGAAAACCCAAAAACCCAATGGGAAAAAATTGGGAACGTATTCCCCAAACGATGCAGTCGCACAACCTCTCTGGGGGTTAAAGGTAAAAAATCAATCTATAAATGAATAAAGTAAGATATAAAAATAAAAGTTGATAGTTCGAGAGCTGAGATGAATACATTACAACTGTCAAAACCTTATATACCTGATAACAATAGAGTCAATTAACGCCATAGCGGTTCACGTGCGTTCATACCAATAGGAAAGTATTTACATTCTCTATCACTGCCACTACGTTTAGCTCCGCCGAGTGAAAATACATTTCATGTCAGGGGAAGGTTTATGTTGATGACTATTCCAAACGTCGAACTTGCAATGCAACTCTAAACAATTAATAAGTGACTCGTCATATTACCCCACATACTATTTACATCCCGATAAAATATCCCTTAGTTAACTTATCGTATAGTAACAACTCAAGAACATCGTCTTAATTTTAAGCATAATAAAACTTGGTAAGAGTTAACTAGATAAAGCTAAAATTTCCATTGCTTGCATTTTTATTGTTGAACAATACTAAAGCAAAACAAATTCCTCTAACAAAGTGGGGCCGCCATCCTTAATGATTTTCATTTGCCTAAATGGCCTCTCCGATTGCTTTTCCAAAGCGAAGATCTGAATTTTCTTTCCGAATATTTTCAAGAACTTAAAAAAAATAAGGCGCACCTATTTAGAAAAACCTAATCCGATTAGGGGCTTTTTCTCACAGCGGCGTGCTTCCCTGCAGCCTTTACTGTGCTGAACATCTCTTTGTTCAGTGATAGGTAACACAAGACAGCATTACGATCAATTCTTTCCAGTGAATTTTCCCACTCCCGTAAAGATATTTTGTACACTTCATTTCGTGGTATTCTAATGCCACTGTCAATTGGAAATTTGTTGATGATGAAATAAACCTCCCCTCCCCTCAATTCCACTGCACCAAGTGTGTTTGAAGGAATGCGGTCTTGTTCAACGACGCGCCATGACTTTATTCCCTCATCATAAACTTCGACAGCTGCATCGCCACCTGAAGCCCACATACCGCCCCGCGAATTTTCAGAAATAGTAACACTTCCACCGGCCACATAAAGATTGTTCTTATCTACAAACAGACTGGAATTAAAGTGTGGATGGCAGGTTGAAGCCTTCTTTCTCCATACATTACTTAGAGGATCAAAACAGTGAACAACGGCCGGTTTTGGATAAAATAAACGTCTGCCACGATTGTCTCTTCCCTCTTTGTAACATCCATGAAGAACATATATTTTAGATCTCATACTCACTGCCGTCATAAATACTAACTGTTCTTTTTGGTCATCTGTGTTATTTAAAAGAGGCAATTTGGAACCACTTCTCCAATCATTCTGAGCCAAACTATATCTCTGAAGCAGACCAGGATTGCTAATTACATAGATATATTCATTGACTGAACTCATACAACCTACACAGAAGTAACTGTTCTGAAAACGAGGGAGTTTTTCCCACACATTTCTGACCGTATCATAGCGATACATAATGTGAGAACCCCTCTCTTCTACAGCTACGTACAAGTAATTGCCAACAACTTCTGCACAAATGCATTTGGTTGCATCAACCAATCGTGCCATGGAAGGAAATGGTTTCCATGAACCTGTTTCAGCATGAAAATACTGCATTTCAGTGGCAACGGAATGTTCCCTCCTCTGCAGGGTAGACTGACCAGGAAAAATTGCAACAAGTACCTGAAGTAGAAGGAAAAGTAAAATAATAGCTTTAAACTTATGAAGACCAAACTCGAACGAGTGAAATCAGTGAAATTTCAAAAGACTTTGACTTAAACTCAGTTGATGAAAGACTATTTTTCATTTATTTTAAAAATATATAGTAAGTGTCTTCCGAGTCGTTATCCCGGAATTACAAGCTTTGAATATATTTTAGTCAGCTAAAAAGGAAGACCCAATATAGATTCAGGCACGGTTTTTACTTTCAAAAAAATCTTTTTTATGGAAAAACCTAACTGAAATTACACTCCCCAATTTTGCACAAACTGAGCCTTAATTGATCGTAGTCTAGAAGCTGGGGTGTTTGGACTCTGCTTTAAAAATTTCAGAAACATAAATTTGCAACATTTTACTGATACATGTGTACAGTGCATGATCATTTAGTAAGATCTAGCAACGTAGCTCCAGCAGGCTGTCTATTGGGCGATTTTATACTGGAGAACTCATGTTAGGGGGAATATAGCTATTTTTGTTGATTTGTAATTTTAATTCAGTTCGGTTAATCTAAGTTTCATTGCGACACTTGATTTAGTTATCGCTTTTTAATCCTTTTGTTGTAACTGTATATTTGTGTAAACTGTGCGGGTGATCGTTTATAGCTGCCAAAAGGGCTCGTGCCATTTTTATTATCCTTTGTTTCATTTGCTTTGTGTTCGCTACGTTAATCTTAGAAAAGCCAACAGTGTTCCTTAACAAACAAAACTAATTGCTCGTTCTCTTTTCAATTATATACATTTTACGTCAATGTTGACTCTTGAAAGAATACTTAATTTCTTAATAATGGTTTATTTGACTTCAGTCTATTTTTCGTGTTTTAACTACCAGACGACATCTATTCATAGTAATGCCTTTGATACAGGTGTACCTCGTTCTAATTGCAACTTAGTTATATTTATTTGCAAAAGTATATTTCATTAAGTTGCTAGTTAAAGAGAGGTAATAACCGAATTTTGAATATGAAAGGTTTTGCTGTCTTGTAATTTTAAAATTAGATCGGTTTTTGTTTAAGGTGAAAACTTTCAATTAGTCTGCGCTTTTCCTATTTAAACAGCCGATAGCTGAACTTGCAATTTAATTCATATTGTAACACTTTGTACATAAACGCTGTTTTGCTGACCTGGCTAGGTCTTTGTCTCAGTACTTTTGCTTTCTAAAATAGCAACAGTAACAAAAGATTTCAGGTTTAAAATAGAATTTGTATTCAGTTTTCATTTAACTCTAAGTGATTTCTGTTTATATTTCTATTGTATTCTTTTGTCTTCAATGGTTGTAAAAATCATATATAAGTAAGTTAGTTTTTACTGATTGTCGATTATTTCGCCGTGTCCTACCCGAGTTATTGCTGTTGATCCGCCGAAGAATAAACGCTGTTGGAACCAAGTTTTGTTCTGTTTTATCTACTGCTGTACCAGTTAGTGGTCTGATCCCGGACCTCGAGAGAAGTGACGGCTCTTCCCTGCCAGCGAGTTGCCATTTGAGTCTAGTTTTCCCCAGTTTTATCGTGAGTCAAGCACCGAGTTCCCGTTGAGCCTTAAATTCGTTTCAAAGTGGAAAAACCTTCCGTCACACTCATTATTCGTCCAGGCCCCAGTTGTTCAAAAATTGGATAGTGCTATCCACCGGATAAATCTCTATCCACTGAATAGCGCAATTGGTTTCCCTGACACTTTAATATCCACTGGATAGCGATTTATCCGGTGGATAGCGCTATCCAACGTTTGAACAACCAGAGCCAGACGGGTAGTTACGAGCATCTACACACCGGCATATAAATTACGTTTGCACCCCATGGCTGAGCCTCCATTGTTCTTACCGTTGTTCTTAATTTCTGGGCCTCAATGTTCTTATAAAAAAAATTGTTGTTATAAACGAAGAAGATTTATTTTTCTCTCGGACTAATACAATTTGTTGATTACAGCCAGTCTAATCAGTATGCATTTTATTCTGTTCCTACTACAGATCCCACGAACTCTGATTGAAGTTGGACAGATTTAATTAAGCCAAACATGCAATCAATTTGTTGGTAAAGTAAAGTGGATTTCGCATGACTTCAATCCGTAGCCCGTGGACAGGATCTCACGATGTGAGATTCATCGAGGGTGAGAAACTCAGAGCTAGAAGCTCAACTTGACCGCGGGGAGGGGTGAAATGAGATGCCGGCTGTGAAGTTAACCGAGCCTGTTCACCGATCTACCTAACATCTATTGGGCTCCGTCCATGGACAATTTTTTCATCCCTTGTCTCGACAACTCGCGGTAAAGATACTAGATCTCATATTAGGGACTTTAAGATGAATACGGACTACGACTACGGTTAAACATGCTACCGCGCATGAACCACGTGACTGTTCATTTTTCCTGCGTTGTCCTTATAATAATAATAATAATAATAATAATAATATACAATATTTATAGAGCGCTAATTCCCAATGGTCCAAAAGCGCTTTACATAATGAAAATAACAACAAAATCCTAAACCTACAAAACTACAAAACTACATTGTCATCCTATAAAAATTCCCAATGGTCCAAAAGCGACTTACATAATAAAAATAACAACAAAATCCTAAACCTACAAAAACTACAAAACTACATTGTCATCCTATAAAAACATCATTATTCTATACTACAACATCATAACAAATTTTAAAAAGCCAAGTCTTAAGCTTAGATTTAAAAGAAGAAAGGGAATTACAAGATCTAAGTTCGAATGGAATTGCATTCCAAACAGAAGGTGCAGCAATAGTAAAAGACCGGCCACCATAAGTTTTGAGATTAAATTTAGAGTTGTTGAGCTGTTTCGCGTAGTCGCGACTACGGACAACATTTTAGAATCTCGTCTTTTCGTCAAAATGTTTTCAATTCACCAGCTTTAAGTAAGAGGAAAGCGAAATATGTAAGTTGTGTTTAATTTCTGCTCAGATTTACGCTTTTAATATACTCTAACCACTTTATAAGTTGTGACTACATTTTTATCTAAAACTAATACGCAGAATTCAGCTTGACGGCCGAGAACAGAAATCACAGAAATCATGCAGGTAATTTACTTCTCTTCGCACTTGAAAAGTTTCAATGTTTGTTCGAATAGGCTATTTGCACGATGACATCATTTTACGACAGTGACTACAACCAGAATCCTTCAGGATTTTTCTTTCTTGTGCAAATTAGGGCTTTTGTAGTTCAAACTTCACCTGCTCGTTGGGATTTACAAAATTAAAAGAAAAACGAAAAGGATTCTGGTCGTAGTAGTAAAATAACGCCATCGTGCAAATGACCTATTGATTAGTGTGTCTTTCTACTTGTGTAACCTTTGTTTATGCGAGTTTTAATTTTATATCACATTTGCTGAATGAAAATGACATACACATCTTTGAGATAATACTACATCAGTAATCGGAGAAGCCCATCTTCTAAATCTAACAAGACGCCTAAAGTCGTTTCCGTGGGATGCGTTGGTCTATGGAAGCATAATGGCGTTCTCAGTCTGAATTTGGAAAAATTAGGGAAACCGGAAAGATGTGTCATGTTATGAGCATCGATGAGTAGCTTACCTGTATGGGCTGGTTTAATGTGCTTATGACTGAATTTATAGTAGCCTGCGTGACAGGCTAATATTTCTCCCCAATCCACATCCCCTTTTTGCTTCCTCTCTATCCCCTACCCCTTTCGACACCTTCTACGCAAGCTAAATTTATAGTTGTCACTGGTCGCAAGGATGGAGTTGATCTTGTTTTGATCTATCGATATGTAGTTATTTTCATAGCACGATTTGGATAAGAGAAAGAAGTTATTTTGCATCAAAACAAGGTTTACCTGTGTAACTTAAATTGGAATGTTAACGGAAACAAGTAATGGAGAACATGCGCATAATGCTCTGATTAACCTGAACAGGAACTATATGTATAAAGATACGTCATATCTTGGTAGTAAGTAGCCACATGTAACTTTTTCAAAGAGAAATGAACATCGTAGTTTTAGGTTAATGGAAAAAAAAAACAAAACAAAACATCCGCTTGCTTTATCCAGGGTCGAACCCAGAGTTACAAAGTTCGATAAAGTTCCAATGTTTTAATCCAAGATGAAAGTTTAATATTCCAAGATGCTATTGATAAAGTTAAAAATTAATTGCAATGTGTTTCCAAGGTATCAAAGTTAACATAGTTCCAATGATTTTCCCTGATTCCAAGGTATAATAAGTTTACTAAGGTCCTGATCCGTGTCCCATCCAGAAGTCCAATCCATGCCGAAAGCGAGTCGTCGATCGACGAGGACAATATTTTCGCGATTTCACCGCCAGTCGTCAAGGGTACGAGATGAAATTTACGCGATTTAACCTCCCATCGTCAAGGCGTTTTCGATAAGAAAAGAAAATAACTGAACTCTAGCTGTGCTCGGCAAAAACTGGCGAACTCCGAATACAAAAATCTATCGGAAATCACGGCCCGCAACCAGACGCTACTAAAACCTTATGAAAAAGCTAGACCTAAACAAAAAAGAATCATGAAGGAAAGAAATAATTTGGCTTAGGTCGCCTTTCGTGACTTACCACTATCCCGAAGGATTTCGTTGGTTAACAAGCCATCCTAAACCACGAGTGAGAAAACTCAAGCGCGACAAATTTGGCAGCCAAACAAAACGCATCGCATTGTTCACCAGGAAGCAAATCCATTAAAAATCGATGCAGAGTTTGTACAATCTGATTGGTCGGCTTGGAAGAAGAGATAATCGATAAAGATTTTAGGCAATCCTATTGGCTGGTTTTGCAATTTTGGGTCCAACCGAACCGGATTTTTACCGTGGGAGTGCCACAGGCATCCCACGGAATAAATGAAGTATTACTATTTCTGTTCAGTTTTCTTTAATATTTGACATAAATATTCATGGGCGAAAAAATAAAAACTGTGTAACCTGTGTAACTTTGTTCACCAATTTCACCCGACGTAATTGCTTCCTCAGGCATGGAAGAATTTGTTCATTATTCTAAAGATAAGATCACATGCAAAATACTTGCATTTTTGTGAACTGAACACGGAAACAAGAAAATCTTTGCGTGTTGTTTCCCTCTACTTTCCTTACTGTTTATCATATCCATGCAAAATTAGTACCTCATGCCAGATTCATTCGTAAGAATTACATGTATTTGATTTTCCAAATATGAGATACAATTACCTTCGATTTACGATAGACGTAAATTTAAACCTCTGCCAAGTAGCACCAGACGCAAATGAGGGAACAAAGAATTAACTCTGGAGTAAGGAATGAATTGCTAGAAGCATTACGGGTCATAACTTACAATTCTCACTCGTAAGGTTGGGCTACCAATACAAAGACAAGTCATGTGACAGCTTTCATTAACAGTACTCTGACTGCCTTTTGATGTTGCAGAATGATCCCAATTTCACCCCAGGAAAGCAAAGCGGCCTGCCAGTGTGATAATTAAATTATGTTACGCGCAGCAGTAAGATGTAGAGGATAAATGAACCATGAGATTGCGGCTTGCACAGACTAGAGGCACCATAGATAACGTTATTTTTTTTATCAACCAGTCACCCACAGAAAATATACATTACTCATCAGAAATACTTAGTCACGATCAACAGCTTTTTGTTATAAATCACTGAAGTTCTTATGTACTTACCGGGGTCATTGAACGTGGCCTGGTCTTCTCAACAGCAAACTTTGAGTTGGGCGAAGGCATGTTGCTATGCAGCAGTTTTTCACACATAAGCATTTGAATCTCTGGCACTCGTTGCATCTCCTCTGTGTTCAGTTCTTCAACCACATCCTTGGTGTCGACCAACCCAAGTCGAACCGCTCCGATGACTTTAGCCGCGAATGGCATCCTCTCTTTCTTCTTGTACTTGATCCACTGCATCACGGATTTGAAGACGAATGTCTCGGATGGAGCATTAAGGTCATCTCGGCTGAGAAGAGTCAATAACTGATCAGCGTCAATAAGGTACAAGAATTCTTCACTTTCACAGATCTGACTGTACAACGACGCCATCTTACGTTGCACATCTTCCTTTAGGTCTCTCAGACCATGCAAATCAGCAAATGCATGAAGACGGAGACACGTCTGGATGTCAATACAACCTTGAATGTATTCCTTGTCCAAGAAATCACAACACTGTCGAACAACAGTTGGCATCTGGAGATGACTGGCAGTTGTGAGAACTTCAAACACGTTTTTCTTGTTAATGAGGAGCTCTCCACTGTAAATGGAGTTCATTACGACCTTAAATCCCAGAGCTGAAATGTTTTCATCTTTGAGCTCAATCATTTCCTGGTTTGATTCCTTCATTCCGTTGGTGAACATTGCGTGGAAATAGTCGCTATAAGCAGCAAGAACATTGCGGTGAGCAGGAAAGATGGACTTATCTACCTTCAGACGAACGTCAATGAATTCTCCGTTTTCTCTGAACTGGCCTAATTTAAACAAAAGATGCGCCGCCATTTTGGTGATACAATAGTGTGTCGAGACAGCGCCCACTCACTCGGCTTTTAACAATCTTGCGTGGGTTGAGGTGTCAGTCAACAATGACCTTGATATGAACTAATGAAGAGGCGGTTTCTAATTGATCACGCAACACTGCCCCCTGCTTTTTCAGTCCTCCAAAGAACTAGTTAAACTATGGTCCCAAGAAAATCTTCTGTTCGAAGTGAAGAAAAAACAGAGGCAGCACAACAAAAACAAAAAACTTAGGTAGCACAGAGAGAGGGTTTTATTACGTATATTATTAGCTTTGTGACAATTTTGGTATTTTATATAACTATCTTAATGTATTTTAGTATGCTTTTAATCGTGTCAATAGAAAGGTTTTATGTTTTTATGTTATGTTATGTTATGTTACTGCATGTTATGTGACTAAGAACTAAGGCTCCGTTTATATGGAGAAAACGTGCCCCGGATAGAAGGGATCTCTTGCTCCAAAGCCTAAGTGCAGCGACCATGAATGCACGGTCACCGTCTTTTTGTCTTTGACGACGTAAAACAGGGTAGGTGCAGGAATGACTTTTGCGGGCCGGTCACATCCCGGTGAAGCTACACTACTCACAGAAATCATGGGTCGCAGAGACATGGTTCCGAGCCAAGAATTATTGCCCCCGCAGGATTTCGCCCAGAAGGCGAAATCCCGAGGAGGCACTATAGTAACTCGCGCGTATATTAAGGAAAGTACTTACAGTTGAAATATACAGTCATACAGTCAATATAGAAAAAATCTCGATTTGCTTGAACAGGGGCCGCGAGGAATCGGTAGGTAATGATGACGTTTCTATTGTTTGCGCCCGCAAGTACGAAATGGTTAGGATGACGTAAAGACAGAACATCCCCAAGGCGGACTGCTTAGGTAGATTTTGTGACATTTATTGTGCAGTCATACTTCGACACTCTTTTGCGTTACGTGTTATCAGTGACATTCTGTGGAGCAGTTGTTTCAGTGAAAGTTATGGACCAAAAATTTAACGACACTCGTTAAGCACAGAAGAAGTTATAACGTGCGCATAACTGTGTATATATAAACACTTGGAGAGTTTGCCAGACACGAGTTCACAAATCTTTTATTGGAAACCTTGCCAGACTAGACTACGAGCAGTCTCTCTTTTTTCCGTGTAGTCCGTCGAGCAAAACGCGAGACACGCAAATGGCCACATGCGTGACTGATGGCGCCCTCGTTTCGCGCGTCTCCCGCGCGCGTGCATTGCTCTCACTAAATCTGAAGAGAAAGAGAGACTGCTCGCAGTCTTCTGCCAGACACTCTTTCTCTCTCTTTGACCGGAATAAGAATCAGCCCCAAACAAGCAAGACGAGTGAACAACGGCTAGCTTCTCACTAGCAGAACGATGGACGATTACAGAAATTCGCTGACAATCAAATTCTGTGCTGACTTATTCCCTGCTCACAGATGTCCTTTCGCTATAAAGTTTAAAATAAGACTAGAATGTGCGAGTGTGAATTGATCAAACGTCCTTTTAATTTCTAAGGCTTACTTTCCGGCAAATAAAATGAGCTGAATGTAAAAAGTGAAAGAAAAATAGCGAAAAATTCAACTTCTTATTAAATCTTTTCTTATGTTTTAGAATAAACTATTCTCGAAACTGAGAATGATTTGATCAAAGCTGTGTAAATCGACCTGAAACTGTGCATGGAACCTTGCTTTTCCTGTATTTATCTCACCCATTGTATGGAATATGTGTGAAAATCTTCCTTATGAATCGGTATATTTCAAAGAGCTACAAAACGAGTAAGAATGCTATTGACCGACAATATACAGAGCGGGGGCAGCTGTAGTGTCAACTATTACTAGTACTATACCTTATGTAAGAAGCAAAATCTTACGAATATGACCTGTATACAGTTAAGGTGGCTCGATCCAGTATACATTAAGGCATACCTTCCATCTTTGAAACTCTTACACACCTAAACAACGCGCATTATTAGTAGATTTTCTTAAATGATATTTTAATTATTATTATTATTGATAGTATGAATTATATATATATTTTTTTTTGCGATCGGAATGAATATCACGAGACGATGAATTTCAACCCTTATTCGCACTTTCTATGTAAAATCTCTATGCTATATATACGCTTTACGTGCTTGCCTTCAGTGTTGTGCGAAGTTTCAGGTACAAAAATCATTTAGAGGAAGAATATAGTTTATGCGGTGAAAACTAAAGTCTATAAATGTCGGCCTCCTTCTTGGATGTTCCTGGGAAGTTTTTGTGTTGTCTATGTACATTCTAGAGTTTAACGCTCTCTTCAAGTAAAATAAAAGCGAGATAAAATAAAAAAATCCCAGGTAGTATTCTTTTAAAAATTTTCAGAGCTGCAATTGATCAGAGTCCTGTATAGTTCATGAATCTCATGCCCATTAAAAACTTATAAAGTTCAAGGAAAGCTGCGCAGGCTAGTACATGAGATGCAGTTTCTTGTAACTATTCTTGATTTGGATCTTGATCCATAAGGAGAAAACAAAATTGAATATGTTCTTTTTAAAGGACATAGCGTATTTTTCCTGAGGTCGCGCAGTTATGCGTCTACTTAGGCCCCGTCCACACTAATCCGCTGAGCGTTTTTTTATCGGAAACGCATCGATCTGAAAACGCTCTTGAAAGTGAATCAAAACGAAAACGCATACATATCATCTTAGTTTCGACGGTCGATATAACGGTCAAAAACGCATCAAAATAAAAACGATGACCGAAAATAGCACAAGCGGGCGCGTGTGTTTTTGTAGCATGATGCGCATAGAGTTCAACTTTATCACAACGCGCAATTCTTTCGCTTACGAAACTTTTAGTGTGGACAGTCGAAAATGCATCAAAACGGTAGTGTAAACGCGAATCGATCGATGACAACAAAATCGTATTTTTTAAAAAACGTATTTAGTGTGGACAGGGCCTTTGGTGGACTGAGTTAATTGTTGAGCTTCATTTCACAAGCAAACAAAGACTACTGTCCGTCACGGTCTGAATAACCGATACAAGAAGCTCAGTACAGTGCAATGTCAAATGCAAGACGGCCTCCATGGGCAAGGCTGAAAGGGAAGCATAAATTCCCCTGTAATATGGACGCAGATCCGTTATGCCGTCATTCCAAGGGAAATTTGCACACCTCCTTGAGAGACATTCGTCTCAATGATGCAGTGGGTCTCGGAACTTGAAACACTCATCCGCTGCCAGTGATTAGTGACCATTGTAATGTTAATGACTGGGAATAAGCTTCTCCTGAAAATTTCATAGTAAAGGACCAGTGCTGACAGCAGCTTCAGTCCTTATATATTGATCACCTCTAACAGATCTTCCGCGTACTATGAATCAGAGTAAAGGATAGAAACTACAGAAATAAACAGTTGTGTAAGGGGTTTGAGACACGTTTCGTGACAAGCGAATCAAGGAGTTACAAAACCTGTCTTGGCCACGTGATCAAGACGTTTAAAACCGGAGCTTAAGGTCACGCGAAAAAATCTCATAAATTCAGAGTAAATTAGTCGGCTTTCAAAATATACCGATCCAAGAATGGTTGCTCATTCCAAAATTCTTCTGACTAAGTGTGCTCAGTTTAGAGAACAAGGTGAATTCATTGATGTTTATTTAAAAGTGGGGGAAGAGGTTTTCTCAGCTCATCGCATCGTGCTCGCTGCCAGTAGCGATTATTTCCACGCCATGTTTGCTCATGGAATGAAGGAGTCGAACCAGGAAGTGATCGAGCTCAAAGATGAAAGCATTTCAGCAGCTGCCTTGAAAATCGTGTTGGATTCCATCTACAGCGGAGACCTTCAAGTCAGCGATGAAAATGTCTTTGAGGTTCTTGTCGCAGCCGATCACCTCCAAGTTACAAGTGTTGTTCAACAGTGTTGTGATTACCTGCAGACTCAGTTTGTTCAGGTTCGATTTGATGTGCAGACATATTGTCAAATCTGCATCATTGCAAATCGGCACGGACTGATAGGTCTACAAGAATCCACACAGCGCAAGATGGCGTCAATGTACAAGGGCGTTTGTGAGAATGAAGAATTCTTGTCCCATGTTGATGCTGATCAGTACACTCGCCTTCTCAGCCGAGATGACCTCAGCGCTCCTTCAGAAACATTCGTCTTCAAATCTGTGATGCAGTGGATCAAGTACAAGAAGGAAGAGAGGATGACAGTCGCAGCTGAAGTTATCGGAGCGGTTCGTCTGGGGTTAGTGGACATCAGGAAAATCATTGAAGAACTCGACACAGAGGAGATGAAACAAATTCCGGAAATATTCAGCCTAGTTTATGAAACACTCGTGCACAGCTATAGTCCTTCCAACAGTTCCAAGTTTGCTTTAGAGAAGGCTAAACCGAGATCCATGAGCCAGGTAATAACAATTTTCTAATTAACGCCACGTACGTACCGGCTTAGGTTTCTTAGGATTAATAAGCAAAACAAATGAAAAATATAAATAAAAGTAATTTATAAGGCGTCTGATCAACACAAACTAGATACAGAAGACAATTATATCTTTGTAACTAATACTCTCTATTTGCTTTTTGTGTTTTAGGTTCTTATTGCAATTCTTCCGCAGTCTCAGATGCAGTTTTTTGACGTCCAATCAAAAACGTGGAAATCTTTGCCTTCAATGTCACAGCTGTCTGAGGCAACGGCATGCTTTTGTGCCGAATATGTTGGTAATTACATGTATGTAGCAGCAAAACGAGGGTATGATTTTGTTAATTATCGTTATCATACAGTTAATAACACCTGGGAGACACTTCCATCTTTTGCTGGCTTAGCCAACCAAATCAGTTCTTTCTGCAGTGTCGACGACCATTTATATGCGATATACCAATCAAATACACCTTACAGATTCCACATTTCTACAGATCAGTGGCAATGTGTAGCTAACGTAAGTGCTCAATGTTACGTGTCCCAGAGTTCATTTTGTAACAAGGCAGCTGTAGTTTATAAATCGCATGTTTACGTTCTTCATGGACAGGTAACCCAATATACCCAACCGAGATATGGAGTATATTGGGAGCCAAAGACAGCAGACGTCTTTTGTTTTGATCCAACGAGAAATGTATGGGAAAAAAAGGCTTCCACAAAATCTCATCACTTTGGTTCTAGCCTCTTAGTAGTAAACAATAAACTCTATGTCGCTGGGGGAAAGTACACCATCGATACATATACTGCTGAACCATGCGGTGGTGCTGGTTCTGTTGAAGTGTATGATGAGGAAAATAACACTTGGTCTGTTGTAGACCAACCACATATTCCCCCAAACAAACTTGGAGCAATAGAAGTTGAAGGGAGTGTATATTTCATTATCAACAATTTTCCAGTAGACAGTGGAATTAGGATCCCATCAGGAGAGGTGTATCCTGTTTCGTTGGATGAGTGGGAAAATTTAGGGAAGGTGGCCATAAATGCAGTTTTGTGTCACGTGCCAGTTAAAAGGGAAAACTTAACATCTCAATAACTCACTCTATAGAGGTTATAAACGTGAACAACGTCAAACTACAATCAGGCACTAGCTGAAACCTTTACACAAAGATTAGTTGTGTCTCTGCTTGGACTAATAGCTTTCTGTTAATGCCCAGCAGGCTTCGGGAATAATATAGGCACGCTGAGGCTGAGAGGTTGGGAATTTAATAAGGTGATATAGATTTTAGTTTTCAAAGTACCTAGAAAAGAATTGACTTTCGTAAAATACAGTGCTCATTGCTGATCAAATAAGCGACCACCCTCGGGTAAAGATTTCACTCACTTATAATGAACACTTATAAAAGTTGGTTGCTTTTTAGAGATTCTGTTTACAGTGAATTACTGGCAATTTTCCTGTGGTAACTGGCCGCTAAATAGGAGGTCGCTTAACAAAGATTGGAGTGTACCAGCACTGTACAGTGGTGTATTCCAGTTAGACATTTAGAATGGGTTCGTCAGTAATCAATTCAGGATTTTCCTCCTTCTCGTGAAACTCTCAGTATGGTTTAGATTCTCATGGTTAGGCCTGCTATTCTTTTTACTCATAGAATCCCCCGAGGTTCCCCCAGAGGCCTTTGTACTGCATACTTGTTACTACTTTTTAGACAGGGTCTACGTTAATAATCTGCTCGAGAAAGCCTCAGGGGAACTAGTCGAAGAGTTAAACTCAAATTTAAAATGTGTTTATACGTAACTGCATGTCACCTTGTTCGTCATAATTATTCTCGCGAAGTTAACTGTTTTCTTTTTTTTCCAAAAAAATGTTTATTATTGATTATGTACAAATACCTAAGATGAAACTGCTCTACTGGTTGAAAACACAGTTCCGGGATCTAGATGTAAGGTAATATTGATCAGGTTGAGCTCTTCTGACACAGACTTAGAAACGTTTGCGACTCGTTGGCAAAAGCGCAGCATTTGTTTTTTGAGGTTACAAATTAAAATATGGTAATGAATCTATTTATAATGGTGGGTGTTAAATCGGACGGATTAGGCTTCAGCCAGCCTCGTACCCAGGCCAGTTCGCGCTATCCGAGTTAACAGAGGAGGCTTGGAACCGAGTGCGATAGCGCGAGGCGTCCTCGGCGAACTTTCCCGACAAGCTTGACAGGTGACGTCACATCCGAAATCGCCGAGGACGACTGGGAACGAGGCTGGGCTTCAGCTAGATTTGTTAATATGAATTCCGTACTCTTTATTTGAATGTATGTTTGTAATTCATTACGACTCCGACGACTACGTGTTTTTTTTATTTTTATTTTTTACAATATCTATATTCAACATTTTCCAAATTCAAATAAAATTTCTCTGCCCAGCCATTTGCGTTAATCAGCTTGTACTATGTGTTGCCTTTTACTTCTTTCGCGGTCAGTTTACCGGTGTTATCTTTAAGGGGCTGATCTCTGCGCCACCCTTGCTCCCCACTCTCACTCAGTGCAAGTAAATATCATTTTCACAAGATAGAACTTGATAGGCCATTTAGTAATTGACAAAAGTGAGGGGTTTTGGAATTCAGAAATGGCCTTTTGGCTGTGTGGTACACACCAGTCAGGGTTGAGGTGAATGCGCTGCATTTGTTACACTCATCTGCAAATGGTCAGGGAATTCTTAGAACTTCTAGTCACTGGGACTTTTAAGCCGTATAAAAAATTTTATTCCTTACGACAGTAAGTCCCCCCCCCCCCCGCCCCCCCCCCCCCTCCCCCCAGGATGAAAACTTTTGAGACCCACAGTCCTCAGGGGGAAGAATAACAGTCCGTTATTGACAAAAGGGGGGGCCAAGAAAGCGGGGTTCTGCCCGGCGTTTTTTTGTCGTTGGCCCGGGGCCCTCCTTCAACCATCCTGACTGAAGA